TAAATCATTGTTAAATTAAGGAATTTATGATTGTATTTTTTATATTATTATTTCGATATCCGAATATAAATTGGTTATTAAGGTATCTAAAATGTAGATATACTGGACCCATTAATCAATCATGACTTAATATTATTGATATAGGTATACCAGATATTATTAAGCAAATAGACATCTAAACATTAAACGAATCTAAATCTCTACAAAAATATTACTGATTTCGATTTTCGTGAAAAACCATCAAGACTAAACACGATTGGGTCCATATCATAGAATATCTTTACTATCACGATCATTAAAGTTTTTTATGAGATCTTGGAAAAGACAATTATAGTTAGAAGTCTATTGAAAATTTATGACTACAGTCAATAAGTTTTCCTGTGACAAATAGTCGAAATATATATATGTTTCCTAATATGTTTACCTTAGGCAATTATCATGATTTCTAGTATGTTTACTTTAGGCAATTACTCTGACTATACCAAAAATAATCAAAATATCTTCCATAACTGATGCCACAGAAATCTTATAAAACGGACATAGTTTGACATCGAACCTAACAATATGAACTAATATAAAACACATATAGTGCATAAAATATAGGTTGATAATACATCACAAAATAACATATAAACAATAAGAAAGTATTAAACAAAAGCACTGATCTTAGTTTTAAAAGTAGGTATAAAATTACTAAGTAATGAGTTCGAGAACACAAAGAAGAAACAGTGAAAATAGAGAGACAGAATAGAGGAGGTCTACAAATAACATCAAACAGTCGATGCTCTTGTCTGTAGTTGGTTCCGCCTACGAAAGTGATAAAAAGTCATTACCAAAACGTTTTAATAAACATTGAAACAACAATATATAGAATCCAAAATTTTAAATACTCACGTCGCTCTAAATGCATCAACTTCTGCATCGACAGGATTGTACAAAAAATCTGAGCATAGATGATTAGATCAGAGAACCACAGACTTCTTATAGATACCTAAACAACAATAGACAAAAGTTTTATTCAACAATCAGATTTTAAGACATATATGAGAAAATATGTATATACCTTGGCCATTTGTCATCTTCCAGAACCTTAACACCCAGTCAACCGATTCACATGTGTTTCTCAGATATACATCATGGAGATTTATTGCTAGAGAACCACGGGCGTAACATGCTAACCGGCCTTCTCTTCTGCCACAAGAAAAAATAATACAAAAAATAAAATATTTGGTTAAGACTTTATATGTTAACAGTCCTTTGCATATAAAACAATGGACATGATTCGTAATACCGTGCATCTACTATCTCAAATCGGAGATAAGCGAAGTTCTCTTCATAAGCATCATTACTTGCATTGCAGAGTGGACCCATATTCACAATAGTTCCCATAACGTCTGATAATAAACGAAATAATAAATTGAATTTAAATCTATTATAAAACTTAACATATATGTTTAGAAATTATCATGCAAACTGATAAATTTGATTAATTCTTATAAAAGTTAAAGATGAAATTCTTACCAATCAGATAGTCAAAAGGAATGGCTCGATCCACAATATCATAAATCGGATGCAGTGGAGATACAAATTGTAGGACCTCGTTCGAATATGGGTGATAATAGTGACAGAAGTTAACTGCAAACGATGTTTATTGATCGTTGTAAGCATTGATCCAGTTGCTTCTTTAACATAAAAGTTGAAAATCCGAATCCACTGTCCCTGTTTGATTTCTTTCCAGCGAGTGGGAAACTCGTTTGGCATAATGGTTGCAGCGATCCGAGTACCCTAGAAACATAACACAGCCAAAAATAATCAGTGAATAATAAATAGAAAACATAAAATAAAAACTTCAAAAAAAGACACATACTTTGATATCAGACAGAACCATCTCGATAGTATTTCCGAAGAATGTTGAATGCTTCCAGAGCCTGACCACCTTGACAGATATTAACCACCCTGTTTTGTAAGTATCCAAACATGCAACATCGACAATATCAGACATTTTAGAAACTTTTTTTTTCTTTTTTTCGATCGAGAACTCTGAATGAGATTTATAAAGAGGAAAACTAAAAGTGACGAAGTATGAGAAAACGTGTTAAATATAAAAAGGACAGACTATGCAGTTGAATAGGCAGTTATTCTTTCTTATAAATTTATTTTCGTTTGAATTATTTTAAAAAAAAATTTGAACAGTTACCATTTAAAGCCCCTTATTGTCAAAACCAACAACGATCCCACTAATTTATGCCAAGACATTTCCATATCGATATTGACCGATTTGTTCGTTTCACGTGCCAGAGAGAATACATTCCATGTTTTCAGTTTCACCAAAGATACACGCAACTTCAATAAGTAAATATACTATTTTACTAAATATACAACTTTGCTAAATTGCAACACTTTCCATAAAATAATACGATCTCTCTCTATAGCTTATGTTATTTGGATAATTTATGTTTCAATATTTTAGGAAATGATATATTCATACAACATCATAACAAAAATGACATTTATGTAGAATTATATGTTATAACTTTATGTATCTATTTGGGCAATTTTCCTTAAAATTATATGAAACAGGAAACCTAGAAAGTCAAACGGTTAGGTGCAAACATAAAGTCGCATAATCTTCCCCATAAAGAAATTGAAAAATGAGAAAATTGATTATTATTGCACACCTTATAAATACTCACTTGAGGGTTTCTTTTAAAAAAACTTTAAAATATTTATAAGTAGCTTTATCGTTTGTGAGAGCATTCATAAGAACATGGCGAACACAAATGAAAAAAAAATCAATGAAAATGGCTTGTTTATCATCAATCCCCCACCATTGGTAATGAGAATCGGTGTCGTGAAACCTAAGTCACCACCTTCACCAACAGATTCCAAGATCGAGCAAGAAGAATTGTGGGAACAATTACATTTACTCACCGCATCAAATCAGAAATCCAAACAGAACACTCCTCAGGTAATATATCTTCTTCACTAAAGTTTATTTTAATCAGGTCTTACATAATGAATTGTAAAATATGTATATTTTATTTATGGAGGATGACAAAGGCAACCCATCTAATGAGACATCCCAAGCAAGTTGCACAAAACGAAAACACGACCTGATTCTAGATCTGGAGATAGGGTTGAAATGCATGCGTTGCGGTTTTGTGGAGACAGAAATTCGACACATGGATACCGCCATATGGGTACGTAATCAGAAATATATAGTTAGATTAATAATAAAAAGTTGTCTAAAATCTATGTTATTGAGTCATTATATTTTGTTATTGATTGCCCATTGAACTCTATGTTTTAGAAACAATTCATGTTTAAATATAATATTGAGTTAGTTTAAAGTTATATAATTTTACAAAAATTTAAATTGGATTGTTTGTGTTTGTGCTTGAAGGGAGAGGAGAAGGAAAGTAAAAAGAGGAGGTCTGGATTTTAATCAAGAACCATATCAATTTCCTTGTTTTTTGTTTTTCCTGTTTGCAATGATCACTTTACCGACAGTATGTATTTGGTTTAATTTTCTAAAAACTATTAAGTTTATTTCGATGACATGATAATTTGGTTTTGGAGCATTCTCGATATTTATAACTACGTGACAATGTTCATCACATGAAATGTCAATAGATGTCCAATAATATGCTACAATTTAAGTTTCGTTAAAATATATTATCTAATTGAGTTTGTCATTGGAATATCCGACTACAGTTAAACGTCAGAGATCAAACCATTAATAAAAGAAAACATTAAGAAAACTGCTTAATTGTACATGGTGGAGTATTATATATATATATATATATATGAAAAAAACGAATCAGATTGATAAAACCGAGTATCTATACAACTTCCAATTTATATACAATATTTGGATTCAATAAAAGTAATAGTTGATACCCATATCCATTAGTAACATTTTTTTTGGTGTAAACCAATCAAATATAATGTAACATATGGGCTTTACAAACCCATTTACGATAATAGACAATCTAAACTTAATACATGATATAAGAATTATTTCAGGTCTAATTTATAGAACTTTTGAAAAAAATTACATCAGATCCAACTTAGTGAAAAATTGAAAAACATCAAATCTATTAGTAAAACCTATAAAACCGAACGCAATTATAATATAGTAAAAAGAACTAACATATTTCGAGATACATAGAGACAACCAACCACAAAGCAAAAAAAAAGTAAAAAGCACAATCATATCTTGTCAAAAACCTCCTTGTAGACGACATTCAATGTTTTGCTTTGTGGTTTGTTGTCTTTATCGGTGATCAATATCTTCAAACCTTCTCTGGATGTAAGACCATCCACAACGCGGTATGGACGGGGTTCATCCATGGGGTCCAAGACCATTATTTTGATTTGTTTTAATTGTTTAAGCCCAAAAACTCGCTGATACCGTCTCATTGGGATGAGCCTGACGAGCCCGTATCGTCGAGGTTCAACGGCCTACATGGCAAGCAGTGATTGGGTGAAGTTTGGGGAAAATTATTTAGAGTCGGGGTCGAAGTTTTGGGGTTTATTTCGCATTCTATTTTTATCAAAAAAAAAAAAACTCTCAAGGCGATTTGCGATAATCGTGACTTCGACACAAATATTCCCCTTCGATCGAATCGACGGTGAATCGTCGCTTCCCCTCCGGTGGATCAGTAAGGTACGTCGTCTGTTTCTTTTGAAGTATTTTAATTTCGTTTTATTCGGGAGTTTGAATCGATACTAGGGTTAACTAAATTGGGGTAAAATTAGGGTTCTGCGGGAACTTTTGTTTTGGGGCTTTTGGTGTTTAGTAAGATTTGTATGCGATTCATTGTTCTTATGGTTAATCGGTTCCGGATTTTGCCTATTTGGGTTTTTAAAATTGATGATAAAATTAGGGTTCTCGTTGATAAAATTATGTGATTGGATATTACTTTGTACGTTTCATTGATTGTTTTGCTTAAGTAGTTAACCATTGAAATGCTTATGTTGTTGTTGCGAGGTTAGCAATGCCTATCAGCTGGAGCGAGCCCTCGTCGTCTGAGGACGAAGCTATCGAGAACATGGCTTGGGCATACGGCGATGGTAACTATGGTATTCCACAGAGATGTTTCTGTGGCTTCGCGGTGAAGCTTGAATCCATGAGAGGTGGACCGAATTGTAGACGAAGGTTCTACAGTTGTCCTGAGTGGATAAACGAGGTCTGTTGAACACTTCTGTTTACTTGTTTTGTTGTATATTCATTCTTCATTTGTATCTGCTTTGGCTTAGTTCGGTTTACTTGTTTTGTTGTATAGGGTAGTTTTCAGCATATTTTCAAATGGTGGGATGAGGCTGTGGAAGAGCAATTCGAAATCTTGGGGCAAACGGTTGAACGGCTTAATGGAGAAGTAAAAGAGGAGGTGAGGTTGCTTAGGGAAGAACTTAACGAGGAGATACAAGAGCTTAATGGAGTACTAACCCTGGAGATCCGCATGATTCATGATGAACTTGAAAGGTTGAAGCAAGGTGATAGCTACTTATGTCTCATTCTTCTATGTGTGTTTGCTGCTATCGCCTACGTGTTTAAGTAGTTCATAGTTTTCTGCTAACTGTTTAGGCGGCTTTTGTTAAGTACTTTTTATGATGTTGTAATGGAAGATGCTATTTATTGGATTACTCTTTATTGGTGAGTCAGTAAAGATAAGCCATAACTAACAACGAGTTAATGCTATTTATTGGTGAGGTTGGATTACTCTTTCAAGCAAGACGAACCCGATAATTCTCCTTAGGCAAACCAGACATTGCTTGGGTGGGCAGAAATAAGGTTAGACATCACATCACTTAACTTTTAAATGAATATGGTTGGTTTAGGTTAGCAAAGTAGTTATTGTATTTGTTAAAGCTGGTAGGTAACTCGATATGACAACCATTACTAAACCCTTGAAACTTTAAAACACCAATCCTAACTTTCTTAAATATAAAAAACCCTTGAAAATCCAAACCTTCTACACTTTCCTTTCCCTCTCAACCTACCTAAACTCTCAAACAAAATGGACTCAGCGAATTCATTTGGGAAATCGCCAGGGTTCGTTAACCTCTTAGCAAGCCAAGAGGATAACACTTTCAACTTTTCCCCAACCATAGATCTTAGCTCATCCGAAGTTCCCTGCTTTAGTAGCCAACTTTCACAAGATGATCCAAGTCCTGTGACTAAAGATCGTGTACCACGGAGGATTTGGTCACCAGTTGAAGACATTGTCCTAATCAGCGCTTGGTTAAACACAAGCAAGGATCCGGTGGTTGGTAATGACCAAAAAGCTGGTGCTTTTTGGTTGCGCATTCAGGGATTCTTCAACAACAGCCCCAAGTTAGCCGACTATCCGAACAGAGAGGCAACGACTTGCAAGCAGAGGTGGGGTCGTATAAATGACCAAGTATGCAAGTTCAGCGGATGTTATGAGACCGCATTGAAGCAGCAGACAAGCGGCCAGAACGACGACGATTTGGTGAAAAAAGCTCACCAGATTTTTTTCAATGATCACCATTTCAAGTTTGGGCTTGAACATGCTTGGAGAGAATTGCGTCATGACCAGAAGTGGTGCACAGCAGCTGCGGAGAAAGATCCTGGGTTGAAAAAGAGAAGAAAATTGTCAGTCTTCAGCTCAGTCGTCACCAAATTCCCAGCCTGAAATCATTTCAGAGGAGTCAACAATGGACCGGCCAATTGGAGTGAAGGCAGCCAATGCTGCTAAGCATAAGGGCAAAGGAGCGGCCACAACCGAGGATGGCTCAGGTCTCGCAAAACTGCAGATGGCTTGGGAAATAAGAAAACTTGACTTGGAAATGAAAGATAAGCTATCTAAGCAAGAACTGCTTCAGTCGAAGCATAAAATGCTTGAGATGCTCCTTTCTAAACCCGAGCCACTATCAACAGTTGATGAGGCTTTGAAGACTAAACTGATTAACGAACTGCTGTGACCAAAATTATAATGTAGTATCTTCGTTTATGTAGGGTTTAGGTTTTTTAGTGTCAATGTTCTCGGGTTCTTTCTCATGAAGTTAAGACGTTGTAGTAACTATGTTTTTCAGGGTTAACTTCGTATTTTTAAATTTTTGAAATAATATTGTTGTATCATATGGTCATGACTAAACACGTTTTACTTGTTTGTTGTGGTTGGTGAGGAAGTTTCACTTTGTGGATGTGGTGGTAAAGAATCGAGTGTCAATGTACCCTATGAAGATGTGGTGAAAAAACATTGAGGGGCCATAGATACTTTGTCATTTTGTGCTATACACCATACAGATTTAGGCTTTTAGGCAAGACATATGTGTAATATTGTATACCACATCTTTCTTTCATGCTTTAGTAACCTGATATGTGCTTCTTCATTATATATATATTGGCGAGTTGTAAAATTTGTTCCATATGACCTCTAAAATTTGTTCCATAAATCTTACACACTTTATTTCTTTCCATACTTTGTGTTTGCCATGGCTTCATCTTCAAGCAATTCTTTCAATGTTAATTTTGATGATTTCATCGAAGAATCTTTTGAGGAAACTTGGAACAATTACTTTGATCAAACTTTCAACAATGCTCTAAATGAAGTTTTGGAGGAGCATTCTGTTCCAAAGCGCAACCAGAAGAAGAGAGCATATATTGAAAGAAATCGTGAGCAAGGCCATCAGCGTTTATGGGATGATTATTTCAGTGATCGTGCAACATATCCCCCAAATATGTTTTGTCGCCGTTTCAGAATGACCCGACCATTATTCATGCGTATCGTGTCTCGTCTGTCCGAGGAAGTTCCATTTTTCCAGCAAAGGAGAGATGCGATTGGAAGGGTTAGTCTTTCAGCCATCCAAAAATGTACTGCGGCTATTCGTATGATGGCATACGGTTCTGCAGCTGATGCAGTTGACGAGTACCTCCGTCTGGGTGAAAGTACCGCACTTTCATGTTTGAAACATTTTACTGAAGCAATAATATCTTTATTTGGAGATGAATATCTCAGACGACCCACTGCAGCGGATCTTCAACAACTATTAGATGTTGGGGAAAGCCGTGGATTCCCGGGAATGATAGGGAGCATCGATTGTATGCATTGGGTGTGGAAAAATTTTCCTACAGCTTGGAAAGGGCAATATACATGTGGTTCAGGAAAACCGACAATCGTCTTAGAAGCAGTAGCATCACATGATCTTTGGATATGGCATGCGTTTTTCGGACCTCCAAGTACTTTAAACGACATTAACGATCTTGAGCGCTCACCTGTTTTTGATGACATTTTACAAGGTCGTGCTCCAAAGGTTAAATACTATGTCAATGGAAACCAATATCGTTATGCATACTACCTAACCGACGGTATCTACCCGAAGTGGGCAACTTTTGTACAATCAATACCCCTACCGCAAGACCCAAAAACCAGATGTTTTGCTAAACATCAAGAATCCGTCCGCAAAGATGTCGAACGTGCATTCGGAGTTTTGCAAGCTCGGTTTGCGATTGTAAAAAACCCAGCTCTCATTTGGGATAAGCAGAAAATTGGAAAATTATGCGGGCATGCATCATCTTGCATAATATGATAGTGGAAAATGAACGAGACCATTACAATCTGGTTGATACAACAGAATTCGAACAAGGCGATCTTACCAGATGTTCCCAAGTTGATATGTCATTCTCTACAGATTTAGCTTCAAATATCGGAAATATGATCGGTATTCGTAATGAAATTCGGGACAGAAAAACACATGATCTATTACAAGCGGATCTACTTGAGCATATGTGGCTTAAATTTGGACATCTAGAAGATTATTAGGTTTACTTTTACTTTTGTTTTTTCAATTTCTTTGTTTAGTTTTAAATTATATGTACTAAATAAATCTTTTCATTTTAAATAATTCAAATGTTTAACCAAGTTAAAAAAAACAAAAAAAATTTTAAAAAAATTATTATTTTATTCTGTTGAACCCCAAAATGGGTATCAGGGTTGGACACCCATTTTTCATAACAGGTTCACCCAAGGTTCTTCCACATTCTCTCTCCTCCAAAAATTATTAAAAAATGTTGATGAACCCCATCATGGGGTTCAGGGTTGTGGATGGTCTAACCCTCGACACAGCGACATAGAGTTGCCCATGAGTAAATACCGGTCTTGGAAGATACAGACCAACCTTTTCGAGTGTTTGTCTTTGGCTTTTGTTTATAGTCATTGCAAAAGTTAATGTGATAGGAAACTGCTTGCGTCTCATCCTGAAAGGAAGTTTCATCTCCGAAAGAGAGAGGAATATCCTAGGAATGAGTACTTTCTCACCAACCTTGCTACATGTTATTATCTGAGCCTGGAGAACATAATTAGCCATCTTAATAATGATGAGTCTTGTGCCATTACACAACTCATTCTTAGGGTTGATATTTCTTAGAAGCATTATAGGAGTACCCTCTCTCAACTTCAGAACATGATTAGGGAAACCAGACATCTTGATACTATTTAAAAACTCCTCGATATAAATCATATTGTTGGAACCACCTGTATTCTTACTGGCTACACTCTCCAATGGAACTTCAGATGCATCATTGTAACTGACAACTTCTTCAGCCGTATCAATGCTATCACAACTAAGATAGGTCCTTTCAACACCTGTTATATACAAAACAATCGTTTTATTATATAAATATAAATAAATAAGTTAAGAGGAACTAAAAAAAAATAAACATACCCGACAACTTTGAAAGCATGTAATCATTTATCATCTCTACATCATCATTTCTTGGACTCAGTATGGCACGGTCTTGGAAAAATTTAGGATCAGTCTCTTTCGAAAACGAACTCCCATAAATTTCTTTGACGATCGTTTTTATAGGATCTTTACAGTCTTTAATAACCAGATCATCAGGAATATCAATCACGGCTTCACCACTTCCATCATCATTTATCATTCCATCACCAATGTCTAAGATCCACTTTGTAAAGGCAGCTCGTTCAAGCATCGCACGACTATTATCTCCAGCTATAATTCGCATGTTCTGTGTAAGTCTCAACACTCTACATTTGTACCACAGAGGTGACGAATTCAAAGTGGCCATAAGTATCTCTGCCTTCCCAGCATTTGGAATCACTGGCAATATTTGCCTGAAATCCCCTCCCAAAACAATGACCTTGTCACCAAAGGGCTTATCAACTTCTAATATATCACGCATTGTTCTATCTAGAGTCTCGAAACAGTCTTTACTCATCATCAACGCCACATCCCATATAATGGTTTAGCAATCCTTATCAGGTCGGCAAGACTCTACTCCTTCTTGATTGAACAGACGGTAAACTTGTTAACCACGATAGGGATTGCAAATCTTGAATGCGCAGTTCGGCCTCCTTCTAATAGCAACGCAGCAATCCCGCTCGATGCAATCTTAAGAACAACATCACCTTGGGAACGTAGAGCAGATCCTAACAGACTCCACAAATAGGTTTTACCAGTACCCCCAGAACCATAAACAAAGAACATACCTCCGTTGTTCTTATTTACTGCTTCTAGGATCTCCTCATAAACATTTCTCTGTTCGCTGGTTACAGTGGCCAACATTTGCTCGTTTCTAACTCTAAGAGTTTCGCGATTGTAATTCCTCTCATCCCGAATAAGAGTATTGTCACGTGACTCCAGAGTAATATCTTCAGGAAACGGCATAGGTGTGAATTCTTTTAAAGATCTCCCACTTACACGTAAAAGAAGTTCTATTTCGACCAGAGTGAAATCTTTAACTTGCTCCTGAGATAGACTAACAGCTACACAATTTCAAAAAATTTACAAAAGATAAATTAGCTATCAATATCTTAAAGATATATAATAACAACAACGTAAACAATAACTATACGACTTACTTTGATCCCTGGCAGTCTTTCTGTAATTATATATGATGTCATCTGATAATACCTGCCATGTAGCATCCCAAACTCTAGAAGGAATGGATATACTATGAGTAGTGAGCATGATCACAAAAAGACGACGGAGATAATTGGCAGAAAGCCACAATCCGGCCTCATTGATGGCCTCAATATATCCTTTGTCATCATTCAATAATCCATACGCATAGCAAGCGTCTTTGAACGAAGAATGTAGAACTTTGTTGACCGTTTTTATATCGTCAAAACTACGTGGTCCTTTGACTAAATTAAGCAGAAGTCTTAAATAATACACTTCACCTGTCCCAATGGGTACGTACATGATTCTACCAAGAGCAATTCTCCTTGACCGTGGCGTCCATATCCTCTTTGGTCCATTCCATACAAATCTCGTAGGAAGTTGCGCATAAGTTAACATCATCGCCAGTTCATACTTTTGCACTCCATCCAAGCAATAAATTTTGACGTACCAACTGAGACACGATTAATAACCTCGTCACCTGGATCATCCTCGTTGTATATAACCATTTGCTGATTCGGTAAATGAAAGGGTAGTTTAACTACAGAAACCGTGCGATGGTGAGTATGATTACCAAAAATTCTCCACGTAGACTCCGAAGGTGCTACATACCTATATAGAAAGACATTATTAAATAATGGAAGATTGGAATTACAAAGATATAAAATATGTGAACAAAATGTTTAAAACATACCTACAGTTGAAGTGTTTCTTAATCTCGTTTTCTTTATCATCATTCTTGATAGTTGCACGGATGTAGTCAGCACCTTTATGAATATATTTGAATAGATACTTTACTGATCGTCACTGTACACACCATTCGACGTTGATATGAGCCCTATAAAGCAGTGTGAGGCTCCTATTATAAGGAACCACAAATCCATTATCACATTCAATACCTTTTTTAACGATAACTTTCTTGTCATTACGTCGCCTGTATATAGAATATCCAACATCATCTATTTTAGTGATCGGACTAAATGGTTTTGGTAAATACTTTGTACGTTTTCCTTCAGCCATGCAAACACTATCCTTATTCAAAGCACCACATGGCCCATGCATCATGACATCTCCTACTATCTCATACAGCGCTGGATCAATATCCTTGTCAGGAATTTCAGCACATATTATCTTATCAATGTCATCACCTGTTGGTAGCTTGTGACCAGCCTCTAAAAAAAGAACTATGTGTGCATTAGGTAGTCCCCTTTTTTGAAACTCAATCGTGTAGATCGCTGCAACGAATAATTTTTAGTTTTTAAAAGATTAGTTAGCATGATCATCTAGCAATGGTATGGACAATATCTTGCTAAACGAAATAAGATACTTAGTTTAACAAAACATACCGGCTTTTACGACACCTAACACATTTTCTTTGGTGAGTCTGTGCATGGAGATCATCTAGTTTCATCTTGAACACTCGCGTACATATATCTGGCCTATCCTCTTGCTTCAAGTTATGTCTTTTTAGGTGTCTGGTAATCTCAGGCCATTTGGGATTACACGTAAAGGTTATGAAAAGATCCGAAAAACCAAAATGCTGCAAGTAGTCATCGCATCTAGATAATGTTGCACCATATACCTTGTACCACCAGTATAAAAAGAAGGTATAATAATACGTTTACCCTTGTCAGAAAGATCAGTGTCACCTTCATCAATAGTTTTCTTTATCTTGTCATAATTTTTGCAATGAAGTTTAGACTGATTCATTGAAATGAAACGTAGTCTATTAGTCTCAATCACCGTGTACGCATCCACTAAGAACTGCTGGAATAATCTTCCAGATAAAGGGATGATGACTCGTCAACCCTCTCCTGTATGCGGAAAGCAAAAAACTCTCTCATAGTAATATACAACCTTTTCCTCCCTTGGGTATCTACAAAACCAATATCGATACCAAGTCTAAACCCGTCCTCGCCATAGGGAAGCAATAATAGATATTGCAAAGGCAAATACGCAGGATGTAGTTCACTGATCCTTTTGAGATTCCCAGTCTTTTTACACTCGATGATGATATCATGTGCATCTGTCTCATGATCGAAATCATTAGGTATCAATGCAGCAACCTCGTTAGTAGCTGGGAGATTCTCAGTCCTTCCATCACTTTTCCTGTCATGCTTTAAAATTATCCTTAACCGGCCTGTATCATTGTTAGGATCAAACCTTTCTCGAACGTTTCGTAATGCATCCACATGTTTGTTATGTTTATCTAGCATATTTTTTATTTTCTCAACAACCTTCTCTCACAATTTATCAGTCGGTCTCGTTTTCTTATAAATTTTTAAAAATAAATTCTTATGACAGTTAGAACCACAAAACATTTAATAACAATACATATATGTTTTAGAATTGATCTCAATGATTAAATTAAATATAAATCAAAAGAATAATAATCATACCCATAAGCAGCTATTCGGTTAGATGTTTCATTTGCGATATCATATATATACAGCTGTAAAAAAGCTGGTTCTTTTCCAGGAGCTGGTAGCATATCTCCTATAGAATGGTAGTTCTCCCCACTCATCTGGAAAATGTAAGGACCTTTCCCGTCGTTGATTTCTTTATTTATTTTTCCTCCAAGAGAAGTGAAAGAAAACATCATATTATACGCCCAGATAAACTCATGAAAGTGATCACGCAAATCACCATCATTGTACATCAATGCTAATAGCGAATTCAGAGGGGTTTTAAGAAGTGGAAGAACGACTTTACCATGACCCCAACACATGGAGAATATAGGCTTCCCACGTCGATATCGTTGACCCAACCTCTCTCCATACCACATATGAGCCTTACACTTACCACATATATAAATGGGATCACCATCGTCGTAATAACCTCATTAGAATAATATTCATTAATTAATATTAATTACACGATAGTTATATATTATGTATTAAATGAAATATATTAGTCCAATGAAAACCATAACCTCCATCTTTCAGACCAGGACTAACTGATTCCAATAAATCTGTTCTAGTAACAACGGTTTCGGTTGCATCCTCATTACAAGAATCAGAGGATTTAGCACGTTTTTTGTGTCTTCCTTTCTTTTTATTACCAGAAGTCGTTTTTTCCACATCCTCACTTTCCGACATAGAGTCTTCATCATTATCCTTATCGGACTCAGAATCAGTAGCAATAAAGCAAGCAAACTCTTTCGTGTTGATAGAAGTAGCCAAAAGATCTGTTTGTTTTTTTCACGGAAAAAATAGTAAGTGTAAAACAGGTATATAATTATTAATCTACATTGTAATTATTAAATAAGAAGATCAAACCAATAGCTTCTTCTCTTTTTCTCCTCTCATGCATGATATGCATTCTCCTCTGTTGTGCATTACGAATTCCCTGGGGTGTTAGATCAGGAACTTCATCGATAATGTAACGAAACAAACCTCCAAGTTGGTCAATATCGGTTACACTGGTAGGACCATATCGTGCGTTCTTAGCATTACCACCCACAAATTCCAGTTAATAATAAGAAAATTTATAACACGTAAATGTTTTAAAAATGTAATTTAATTAAAATCTCACCTTTATTTGGAGCAATCGACGAAGATGAACTTTTTTTCCGCGGACGCCCAAGCTTACGTTTCATAGTTTCTGATGAATAGCATGAAAAAAAAAATGTGTGATCTAAATACACAGTCAATAACAAACTATATATATAATATTATATTGCGCGATAATGCAAAATATACATTTTAGCTTCTCATAAATTGCGCGATAATGCAAAATATACATTTTAACTTCTCATAATAAAATGAGATTTTGGTAATAAAAAGAATTTCGAAATAGAAAACCTCACGATAATGTTAACATTACTTATTCTTCGCGATAATGTGCCTATATTCTCATGCACCATAATACTCCAATATCGAAAATTTATATTTTTCGTGATAATGTTAAAATACTATTGAGATACTTCTACATTACAATAACGCGAACCTATAAATAATTATTTATTATTCCAAATATGTAGAGCTAATCCTAAAAATATACCTCTACATTACAACAAATATATTCTCCTAATATTTTTACGAAAACCGAAAAGACTATCGTTATATTTCTTAGAACTTGAATATTCTCCCAAAAAATATGGTTATTTAACATATCATCTCAATAAATTATATCACATGTTTTTCGTGGACAATTATATTATACTTCGTTACGCAAGCGTTTTGGGATAACTATGAATATCGAAATCCATACCTGAAGATAATAATTAAAAAGTATTATTTTCATACACTGCGACAAAAGTCAAATTTTATTCATATAACA